TTACCGTTAATCACCCTCCGAAGGAATTAGGTCTAGCCATTTGACCACCGAGTCAATAGTCTTAACCCTTTGAACATTTCAAAACCCTAATAGCCTAGGCGTCCCGCCGTGGACGAAATTACCCTTTACCCTAACATTAGGTCAAAGAGTCGTTGTACTCTGTTTTTAGGGTTTCCCGCCGTAGAATACCTAATTTTAACCCTAATTTCAATTCAACATTTCAACATAGAAATAGGAGTTTCAAAACTCCACGTAAGTGTGTCCTTAAGATACGTTTACTCCCATTGAAACCTTGACCATAGTCAAGAAAGTTTCTAACCTCCCTTTCGAGGGGAACTACGATTACTCTAATTCCATTCCCTATCCATGATACGTAGGCACAAGATGCGAATCTTGCCGAGTAAACTTAGGATTAACCCTTAGGTATTTTAGGTCACTCTATCCCTTAGCTCAGTATATATATTTTAAACAGATAATAAAATAAAAAAGCATACATTAAACAAAAGGTTCCTGTAGAGTACTACAAAAGTTTAGGGTGCTAGTACCTTCCCTAAGCTTAACCAACCCCTTACCTAGGTCTCTCCCCGCATTGTGTTTACGATGCAAAAATAGGTTTTCCCTCTTTTGACCTTTTCCTTCGGATAAATCAAAGAGCGGTTGTGAATTAAGAATTGTGATGCAAACTAATTAATAGTTTGATATCCTATTTCCACCGCAACACTTATGTATTTTGGGTATGACTTATATAATTTGTCACAAGTTATGACTTATGTATTTTGGCTATGACTTAAGGAATAAATGTTATCATATTTTGAATTATGGAACATATTTTGGCATTTTAAATTATGGAACATATTATAGAACATATGTTATCTCAAATGTTATCAGTAACTGATACAATTGATACAACAGTGCAATACAACAATGCAAAAACACATCAACAAAAAATTGTAACAACTGATACAACAATGCAATACCACTAAAAATTAAAAATTGTCTATTCACTTCAACTGGTACAAACTGATACAAACAATTGATACAAATTTAAAACTTGTCTATTCAATTCAACTTGTACAAACTGATACACATTCATTTCAACTGGTACAAATTGATAGACATAAAATGTTTCCCTAATCTATTCTAAAAACTAGTACAATTATAATCATAAACAACATCAAATTTCAAAAAGAAATCCACTTTATAATTTTCTTCATTTCACTTTCAAGATTAATCAGTTATTGCCCAAGTTCTTCATTCATCATTTTTCCTTTTGCAACTACCTTTGATAGCTTTTCAATTCTATCCATCCAAAACTATTCCTTATCATATCCAACATCTTCATAAAACCAACCAAAGAAACCACACCTAGCTTGCATAGATCCCTGAAAAATTCATAGGCTACAAATCAAATAGTTGCAGCAACATGTGTTTTTCAAATTACAAATATCAAATTTACATGAAATATACCTTATAATTAGGACAACCCCATAAACATTTTTCATAGTTCTTAACAAGTGTTGCTCTTCGAAGAACGACCAGGTCCCCACAATGACATAAGGGTTTCCAATCGGAGCTTGTATACATATTCAAACCTTCCTTCGAAGAATAACCACCTTCTGCATTTTTCTATTTCAGCAATGACAAAGATCCACTTGATTTCATGCTTGAATATCTATTTCTAGTTTTCCCTAGCCCTAGGTCGAATTTGTGAAGCAATTTGGGGCTGAAATGAACACTATCATTGTCTTAATGAAGAAGATGAATCAATATGCCAACTCATCTGCCACGTCTGCACACATAAATGGATGTTTGAGGGTCATTGACGGAGAGGACTAATATGACACCATTTTAAAACTTAAGGGATTACTTTAGAACTTTTTAAAATTAATGGACCAAATTGGACCCTGAGGTAGACTTAGGGGGCCAATTTGGGTATTTTGTCTAATTAATTACACTAATAACCTTTATGATTAGATAGATATCCTAGAAAGACACAAGGTATAGGCCGATGCTGGAGTTTATTCCTAGTGGTAAATGGAATGAGAGGATAACAAAGACATCTAAATACTCTGAGTTGTGAATAGGTCAAGTGTTTTTGTTATAGAACTTTTATGAGTGATTAGAGAGTGAGTTTATTATTTGGAAGTATGTTGTGTAGGTAAGTGGCAATTTGAAGAGCATGGTTTCAAATAAAATGGGTGGTATAAAAGCATGAGCAAGGTGGGCTCAGATAATATTATTGATTGGATGGATTTTTCTTTCGCATTTTCCATTTTTAGGGGATGTGTGAGGACAAAAAAATCTAAAGGAAATTCCATTTAGTTCACAATTTTTGAAAGAGAACATTATCATATTCTTTGCTATTGTCACATTGAAAACATTTTATGGCGCGTTCAAATTGTGTTTTAATGAGAGCACAAAATTGTAAAAAAAAATGGAATGTACTTGTGATTTATTTGAGATTGAAAAAGTCCATAAAAAATTTGTAAAATCATCAAAGAATAACACATAATAATGATTCGGAGCTTAATACCAGAGAAGTTCAAAGATCACTATGAACGATGTCAAAAGGTATACAAGTAAATGACAAAGAATTATAAAAAAGTAGCTTTATTTGTTTCTCAAGTGGATAAGAGTGACAAAAGAAATCATTTTGAAACTTATTACATAACAAAAGTTTATTTTGATGAAGAGAATTTAAAATAGGAGCTTCTAAATATCTTAATGACTATGCCATAACTTGGTAGATGAAGCGGCGAAAGCAGATGGTGGTGATGATGTTGTGTTTTTTCTTGTGGGAATGGGGTAAAAGGTCATGGGAATTGTTAAATCTTATTAAAAGTGTTCCTATCGAAAAATCCTTCACAAAAAAACTAAAAGGGTCAAATTCAACAGAGACATCATTATCAATTGTAAATTTTTTAATAGAAACAAGATTTTTTTTTAATAAGTTTGATGCATGTAAAGCGCTGTTTAGGTTAGGGAATTAGGTAAAGATGCATGTCCCCAACCTATAACAGAAATATGATGACCATTTTCAACAGTAAGATTATTACCCATATTAAAATAAGACGTGAGGTTACCTTCATTGCCCGTCATATGAGAAGTTGATTTGATGCTTATATACCATTGATCATCAAGATGATAGATGGAGAAAGTGTGCATATCAGCTATAGTATTGCGGTGCTTGCTAACCGGTGAAAGTTAATAGAGTAGTGGTTATATGGGCTTGATAAGGCCTAGGGTCAAATATGTCAGAATATTTATGTGACACACTTACTGCCGAATACGGTTATGGTGGAATTGCCTATGATTGCCATGGATATGCCAACGGCTGCTGCTGATAGAAAGATGCAAACCACTGTTGTCGTTGCGGTTGAGAGCAACCTCCACCTCGACCATTGTGTCTTACTCTTCCACGATCGTCGCGACCATTATTCTGGCCACTGCGATCACTGTTATTGCGTCTGCTATTATGGTTGTTGCAGTTATGACCTGTCGAGGCTGAAACATCATCTTGAGAGGATAGGAAAGCATAGTTCTTGGCCAAACTCGTTGCTTTCTTGGCCTTGGCTATTTCCTCTAAGATGGTCATGGGACGAGCTGTGTAAAAAGGGATGAGACTCTCAGAACGAATTTGCGATCTAACTGTGACATATGCATTAGTGAGGCCACAAATGAGTTGAAGCACGAATCTTTCATTTAAAACGAGAACACCGACATTAGAGATTTGATCATATGGTGGTTTCAGATGTTGACAGTAGGTAGAGGCATCCGAAAATTATTCCATACGAACATTCAAAAATTCAATGGTTTTTAGGTCAAAAGAGGATGTAGGTTCGATCGAAATAATGTGACCAATAACTTGATGAATTCGAGCATTGATTTTAAAGAGTTCAGACCATATATTATACTGACCATATATATGGATAGGAGGTGGTGTTGATGTCGTGGTGGCAGACTTAGGAGAGGATGTCGAGGTTTTGGTAGGAGAAAAGGAGGAGTGGTTGGCGTCAACCACGGTGAGATGGTGATATGAATCATGCACGAAGGAAGAAGAATAATGGGGCCGCCGGGTGAGGAAGGAGAAGTTTGCATGATTTAAGGTTAGGATTAGATATTTGATTCAGTACCTGATGCTTACTGATACCATTGATACCGTGTAAGAATCATAGGTCTTGCATTTTTCATTCCTTTGATCAATGCTATAAATAAATATATATGTATAATCATAGTCTAATACAATACTCTCCTTCCGTCTCATAAAAAATATCTCATTTGAATTTTTTCTCAGTCTCAAAATAATTGTCTCTTTACAATATTAATACAAAATTTATTATTTTTAATAAAAGTATTTTAGTAAATGATAAAAAAATTTATCATTAAAACAAACACATCTAATATTTTTTTAAACTTTGTGCATTGTTCAACTACGACTACGGTAAGTGTAACTCTAAATAGATGGAATAATCACATTAAAATTTGATATGTGGGAAAAAACTTATAACTAAAATAAATAGCCTTCACCTATGAACCAACTTGAAAGATGTGGACATACACCAACTTGAAGGCTTTGATATTGAGAATATTTAGCATGCCAAAAAAAATGTCAAAAAGTTGTAACACAATTTAGATTCATTAAAAAATATATATAAACCTTGTGTCTAAACCAAAGACCAAAAGAAGTTTTAAAGAATCAACAATCAGGTTTGAAGCTAGTAGTACTGTGCATGCTGTGCTTGAAACAAGCATGCGTGGATCACGCAATTTCAAATAACTTCAAAATTCGACTAAGAAACTGCTGAAATCAAAACCTTGGGTATTCACAAAGTCATGTGCTAAGAGAAACTTCAAACATGGTTCATATCAGTCCCAAAATACATCCATCATCATAACTAAGTGGAATTGATACTATCCCCAAATCAATATCTGATCAAAATGATAGAACTAATAATGTAGTAGACGATATTCACATAAACTCACCAGCGAATGTCAAGACATCAAACTGCTGCGGCGTCCACAGAACTTTTTTCCTTTTTGCTTTTTCTACCTCGCTTTCCCGTACCTTTCTGTGGCGTGGGAGGCAAAATCTTGAGGCGGTAACTCTTTAATGAAGGTCCAAATATGCTATACTTTCCGCTACTGCTAAAGGCACTTTCTGCATCAACGCGTCTTTTGAAAACAACTCTGGCGCAGTTAGTTTTCTCTAGCAGCACAGTCTTTGATTCAATTAGTGGCCCGTAGCTGGTAAAGATCTGGTTCAGATGGGTTGCTGAAGGAACTGACTCAAAATTTGTAAATTTAAGAGTAAGAGCAGTTGGAGAACTCTCGTTCACATGTTCCACATTGTTCAAAGGTTCTGGCATGAGATTTACATCAGTATCATATTCCGCATTATTGGAAGGTTCAGATATCAGATTAAGAGCAGTTGGAGAACTCTCGTTCACATGTTCCACATTGTTAGAAGGTTCTGATATCAGATTTACATTAGTATCACGTTCCATAATGTTGGAGGGATTTGATCCGGGATTTTCGTCGCTATCTTGATGCATTAAACTCGAATTAGGGATGATTTTGGCAGCCTCCAAAAGTTTCTCTCTTTCATCTTGTTTTTTTAAGAGAGTCTCCTCTTCAGGAGTGCTTTGAATTATTCTATCAGTCCAATAAGAATCATTGCAAACCTCCATCGGTGTCGATATAGAAGCTGTAGCAGCAGGTTCTACCGATGTTATTACTCTAGTCTCAGCATCTTGCTCTTGTTCTAAAGACAATCCCTCCTGAAAGAAAGCAAAATTGTTCCGGCCACTGAATTTTCCAAATTCCGCAAAGTAATGTATCACCTCACTGTAGCAACTTTCTCCAATAGGATCTTTGGCAACCGAGCATAGTTGAGACCACAAATCATCTACGGATACATTCTGTAATTGGGTGGGATTTCCAGTTTGAAAATTGTTGCAACAACAGTCAGAACTATTGCAAGCTAATAACTTCCGTTTTCTGCCACGACGTGAAGTTGAATTAATACCAGCATTTTGGAAATTCTGGTAACAATAATCAGAAGTATCGTAAGCTTCCTTTGGTTTCCTTCCACGCCGTGAAGTTGATCCGGAGTTCTGCAAAAAGCCTTGATCGGGTTTCAAAACTTGTTCATTAACTCGATCAAACTGCTCTTTCTCTATTAGAGGTAGGGTTTCCATATCGTTCTCAAACAACCGACCAAGCACTGCAAACTCAGGCAGTTCTGAATAGCCTTTTGAACGATTAAAAGCCGACACTTGGGCACGAGCACTTACAAAATCCAGTCTATCAAACTCCGTAAGTGGTGACTGAGCTAATGATTTAACAATACCGACACATTCCGCCGGTTCAAATGATGTGGCACCTATAAACCTGTCCCCGCCATTTCTTCTGCTTGATTGATCAAGGGTTTCAGCATTGGCGAATACCTCTTCAGGCGTACAACGACAATACAGGCCAAACTCTATCCGTCTCGAAACTTCCTCTACAGCACAATCAACAGCGTGGCGGAAAACTTCCGAATCGCTCTGTTTCTCAAATTTGGAGAAATGTTTATGAAACGGTTTTATCATTGACACATCATTCCAAGCAAATGTTTGGTCTCCGAAATATGCTATCAGGTAACAGTTTTCCTTCCGGTGCCTCTTTGCCATCTCGGAAGCAACCGAGGGGTCATATATCTGACCAGGCCACCAAGGATGACCCCTAACCTTTCCCCATACTAAATCAGATACGTGATAGTTAACATCAGAAAACACCGAATCCTTTGCCACATTATCCTCCTGAGTGTTTTTATAAGAATTAAGATCCACCACAAGATCTAAACCACCACAGTCATATCGATTATCCTCAGAGTTGGCTTCACCAGAATTACCGATGCCTATGACATAATTCTGAATCACATTTACTTGGGAATCCGACAGAAAGGCCTTTTTCGAAACTGAAACATTCATATCCGAAGACTCCTGTGCATCGACATCCATGTTTTCAACCCCATCCTCATCTTCTTGAACCTCATTACTCAATGCAACTTTCTCCACATTCTCAAATTCATGTTCAATCTGAACACAATCATTCAATCCAAAAACCAAACCTTTATCAGACTCCACACCTTCACCAGAGCATTGAATCACACTTTTCTCATCTTCATTCTTCACCAACCCACATGACATTTTTTCCACATTCTCATCCTCATTCTTCACCAACCCACATGAAACTTTTTCCACTTTCTCATCACACCTACCATCAACAACACCAAACATTCCTCCATCCTCCAAACCATTCACATTTCCTTGAAAAAATCCCTCTTTTTCACAGCTATTAATCACTGAGTTCATGTGAAACCCAACCGCATCACTCCCAGAAAACAGGTCCATTGAACCATCGGTTCCTCCAACATCACCGATTAGGGCTTCAGAAACACTGACATTGGACCTTGTTGAAGAATCAAAACCCAAAACCTCATTCTCTCGATCAAATAAAATATCATCAGCATTTAAATCATTTCTGTCGGAATTTTCAGCCATTATAATTTATAACCGAAAACCTAAAACAAAAAACACAAAACACATGCATGCATTCATATTACAACGATGTAAATCATAAAAACCGGTATACCACAATAGTATAATACAAAGGATAAGAAATTCAAACCTGTTTTAGAAGCAGATTCTTGTTGTTTTTTTCCGTTTGTTTGAGTAGAGAGAAAAGAGATGGTTCTTCTGTGACATGAATGTTGAAGGTGAACTCATATAGAGTGAGAAACGAAACGTTTAGAAGTGTGAAGTGTGTGAGAAAATCTTGAGAGATTTAGAGAGAGAAAGGGGTGAGGCATTGAGAAAGCGTGCCATAGTTTAGTTTCGCAACAGAAAAGACAAGTTTTGTGTCCGACCTTATATTTGATGCATGTTCTTTTCTGACGCGTGTCGTTTTACTGATTCAAGTTTAGATTATGTAAATAAACATAACATAAAATGAATACTAATTGAAATAATATTAATGATAATTAGAAATTTTGAGAAACTTAGATAGTTTTTTTTTTTAATATTTGATTTAATTGATCTATGTGCATCTGTCATCTATATAATGATACTATCGTTTAAAATAAATATGAGGAAAAAGAAAAATGGTAATAGAGAATGGAAAGTAGAAAGGAAGAAGTGAGTTAGAAAGGAAGAAGTGAGATAATAGTGATTGTGAGAAAACTAATAAGATGAAGGGGCAGTAGGGAAGTCAAAATTTTTTTGAAGTATGGGCAAAAATTTATAATACCTAAAGTTTAGTTGCCATCTCATGGGATTTTCTGAAGCTAATAGTAATTAATCGAACACATGATTTGTAAGAAACATAAACTTGGTTGAGGCAATTTATCGAACATTTAGTGTACAAGTTGCAAAACGGTGGAAACGACAACAATTCGATACTGATTCGTAAACCACAACCTGCAACAACAACAATCATCAACAACAACAATAATTCAACATCATGAAATGAAAGAATTGAAGCGAGAAATTGATTAAAGTATCCCTAAACTTATCACAAATTAGTCACTCCCCAATATGCAATGTCGTAGGATGGCTCCAGTCTTCCAAAGCAGAATTCCCAAATTATTTGGATATGTTGTGTGATTTTCTGATACCCAAAGCTTAAAACAAATTCTAGACAACAAGTATGTCAAATATTTTCATCAAAGTAGGTTGTTCATGAAATGAGTCAACAACAACTTTACCATTTCCTCATATATTTGTTTCGCTTAGCAGCAGTGATTTTACTCCATGCTACACAGAGGAAATCATAGTTATCATAGTATTATGAATATACCAACAACAGAGTTTTTTTAGTTATTTCATCATTTGCTATAAGTAACAATAATGCGTATGAACATAATTCTATAATCAATGGAACATCAAATCCATCAACAAATGGAAATAAGCAAAGGGCATAATTAACATGCTAAAATCAATAAAACTAGGGTAATACTCGGTTGACTGTAACATTGAAGTATTATAAGCTGAAACTTCATCTATATTCACTTTCAAAGTTGCAAACCTATTTGAATATGCAAAAACATATGCATAGACATCAAGTTATCTATGATAGTATATCTTAATCCTCTCTCATTTCGTTTATAGTCTATAATACATGATATTATAGCATGAAAATGTGAAGTTGTGTACATTTAAAAGCATCAAAAGCAGAGGAAATTGCATCATTTGTTTCCCATCCACCCATGCACGCTACATTTGCTATAGATTCGCCAGTTACTAGATTATATACCTACAATACCATTGAAGACATCAGATTATTATTTCTTACCAATAGCACTACCATGGAACTTATAGCAATAAAACAAGAGAAAAATAAGCAGCAGCAACAAACTATGACCATCAACAATATTAATTGAAAAGGAATCAGCAAACTCCCCTTCCCCATCTGTCTTTAAACTTTGCAAAAACCAATTGAAAAAGTAAAAAATAGCAGCAGCTGTGTGACACACCTTTGTGGTTTTCCCATCATAAGCATCCCTCCATTTCTCTCCAATGAGGCCATGTGTTCTCAACAGCCCAGAACTGTTAAGCTGGGAAGCATATAAATTCTTAGTAATTTATCGAACACATGATTCGTAAGAAACAGACACGAAAAAGGAAAAGAAACTTGGTTGAGGCAATTTACCGAACACTTAGTGTGCAAGTTGCAAAACGGTGGAAACGACAACAATTCGATACTGATTCATAAACCACAACCTGCAACATACCCATCATAAATTGATAAATTGGACGAATGAAAATGAACTGTAAAAACAAACAGGGCTCATAAATCCCTAATCAGAATCCCCATTCTCCCTTATATCCAAAAGGTTCCCTAACCTAAAAGGTCATTGAAATGAAAAAAATAGAGAAACTTATGAGTAAGTGAATCTTAAATGAAATGAGATTGAAGGAACGAAATAAATGAATATTGAAATGAAAATGCAACCGAAAAAGGTAAGTGGTGCACCTGTTCTTGGTTAAACCGGAAAATGTTGTCGGCGGTTGAGCCCGGGCAGCTGCCCTACCTGGCCGGGCGTTGGCTCCGCCACTGATGAAGGGTGATATTTATAGAATTTTGAAGGAGTATAATACTCCTTCCGTCAATAAATTTTATATTTTAGATTTATAATTAATATGTTTGATATATAGATATATTAACTAATTGATAAATTTAAAAATTAAAATTTGTTTATAATATAATGCAGAAGGAGTAATGTGATAGTTAAGATAGTCGTGAAAAATATTGTGAATATTGCATTCATGAAAAATGTAGTAAAAATATGTTCAAAATTAATTTATAAGAGAGTTGAAGTATTTGATTATATTGAATTATATGATAATTTTGAAGATGATCATTCTTTATCTATCATATTTCACTTATTATCTTTAAATATTTGTACTGGTCAAAAAGTATAAGTATGTGTGTTTTTCCTATAAGGGTAATGAGACTTAGAGACCTTAGTATGCGTATAACATGTTTTGATATTGAAGGCTTGCTCACGGCGGCGAGAGGCCCTACGCGATGATTTTAGAGACAGCGGAGAAAGGCCCTACGTTTTAGAGGCTGTTTAGGGGACCATCTCACATGAGGTGAGAAACCCTGTTGGTGGTCGACGCTGCTTGATTGCAGGCGGGCAGTTAGAATAATCGTGTGTTATGGTTACACAGAGTGTGGTGCTCTTTTAGATAGTAGAAGATGGGTATGACTTAGAGTATGTCCCTTGTCTCCTTTAGGGGTGATATTTATAAGAGTATCTATGACTTAGAGTTTTTAATCCTTTTATGTGGTCTTAATCGCTCCCCTTTTATTGGGGAAAGTTATTGATCACCTATCTTCTAGGAGTCAGTGGGGATTGTCTCTTACTTGACTCCCACTTTTGAGAAGCCCCTCGGGCAAGTCCCATATATCCCGCCTGGGCGACACAATTGTAGGCGAGGACGCTCTAGTTTAGGATTTTAACAAATATAAAACTACATAGTCCTTTAAGCGCAAGGACTTTTCTTTAAGGGTGAAGTGCTTAAAAACTACTATCCCCTATTCGAAATGCGCCCCCACCTTATTGACGAATACTTTGGCTAAGAACGATCTCCTTTATGGGCGAGTCCCTCAGCGAAGAGTGAGTCTGGCAACTGAAGAACATTCTCCTTCGGCTAAGAACGATCTACTTCATGATAATTTTAAGAGTTTTCATTCTTTATTTATCATTGCCGCAACTGCGAAAACACCCAGCGAACAAACAGAAGAGTCGCCACCGAACGTTATTTATTTCAAAGAGATGGAAAAGAGACGATCAAAGAAAACCTGAAGAATGGGAGAAGACAAGGTCATCGCAACCAAATCATGGATTCGGGAGTCGGTTACACAATAGGAAGATATTAACACCCCTCACGTCCATTGTACTCAACAAGATCCACACTTGTTGTCTTATCAAAGGGTGTGTTATCTAAAAGCTACTGCTAAACGGAAACGAGAATAAAAGAAAAAAAGAAAGAGACTTGATAGAACATCGCCGCCCTATGCCTACGTATCCCCTCATGCAATGGGAAAGTCAGAGTCAACGTAGTTCGGGAAACTACGGGTGATGAGGGGGGGTTGCTCGCCAAGACAACGTTGTCTTGTGCCTACGTATCCTCATCTGGTATGAAAAATTAGAGCAAACGTAGTTCGAGAAACAAAACCACATGTTGGTTAAGCGTTTTTTATGAGTGACACTAAGTTAACATTCCAACAGTTAGGGACGATGTCTGTTTGCGGTATAACGGAAAAGTAACATACTCTTTTTTGAAAATGAGTTTGAAACACAAATCCCGAAGGATAAAATGTTTGATTCGGTTAGTGAGTTTTAATGAAGTGAATAGGTTTGCTTTGTGATTCACATTGCACTAAAGACTATGACATAGGAGTTAATGCGTCACATATCGCCCAAAGGGCATACGCTAAACACTCTAGACAAGTAAGGAGAAACCCATCACTCATCATTTCCCATGTGCTTAAGGCTCGTGGCGCGCAACGTTCATCGTATTTATTAGATGAGTTAGAATGTGTTTTGAGATGAGAAAAGAGACACACGAAAGGTCTAAGGGGAAACTCGGCCTCAATGTTGTCATGCAAAATGGTCCTAAAGTCGGGATGCTAAAGGAGATTCTATCCTAATGTTAGCATGCAAAGGATGGACCTAAGGTTAAGGTTAAAAGGGACTAGCCTACTTGTTATCAGGCTTGGATTGCAATTCTAATGTCTATCTTACTCCAAATTTAATAGGTAATTAAATTGGAATAAGAAACCTAAGGGAACATGCAAAGGCAAGGCAAAGAGCAAGGAAACAATGTAAAAACAGCAGCTACAACAACGCCTCCTGCATAAAACAACAATAAAATCCAGCATACAAGCAAGACAGCCTATAACAGCACATGTTTAAGCACAAAAGCAGGTGTAAAAGGCAGGCAACAAGCAATTAAGGCAAAGATAGCATGCAAGTTCAAAACAAACATAATTG